TTGAGGGGTGTACACTCTACTGAAGACCTGAATCTGAAGTCCTAATTTAAATCTCAGCTGTTGTGTCCTTGCTCTGTGACCTTGGACAAGGCTCTTACTTTCTCTGGACAACAATTTCCTTCTCTGTAAAATGACAGTTGGACTAGAGCAGGGCTTCTGAGACTAGGGTCCGTGGACTTTAAAAAACATTTTTTTGATAACTCAATTGGTTTCCTATGTAATCCTCCATGTTGTATTTTGTGCATTTAACAACATGATTCTGAGAAGGGGTCCTTCTTCACCAGACTGACTGCCAGAGGTGTCCAGGCACACACAAGAGGGGCTAGATTGTGTCCAAGGTCCTTTCTTCCATCTAGATCCTGTGATTTATCAGTCTTCCTCAAATACTATGAAAACCATCCCAGCTAAACCCAAGCACACTCCAGAGCTCTCTTTAGAAATCCCTGGGATGTCCTAGGGTTAGCTGTTCCTTCAAGCCACTCCAGGCTCTGGTATAAATGCTCAGCCTGGTCTTGGGCAAGTCCACTCCCTTCTCTGGGCCTGTTTCCCAATGCAGAAAATAAAAGAGTCAGTCTAGACCACATGTGTCAAATACAAAGACTACAGACCACATGTGGCCTATACTTTAGAATGCCACCCCAACTAGATTAAAATGTAATTGGAAAATATTTGACAAAATAAATAAAAATACAACAAAACATAGATAATATTCACGTGAGATTTTCTAAGTCAATTTGCAGCCTGCAGGGATCCCTATGTATGGTTCCCATTTCTACTTGAGTTGAACACCACTGGTCCAGATGACCTTTAAGCTCTCTTTTAACTCTAGAGCCTATGACTTGTACATAAATTCCAGGGGTGTAGGATCAGTAGAAATTGATAGGATAATCAGTCAAAAAAAATCAATAAACATTTATTAGGCACCCACTATGTACCAGGCACTGGGCTGGAGGCTAGGGAGACACGCAGAGCAATAGACTGTCCTTTCAGGGGACTCCTAATCTAATGAAGAAAACAAAAGGTCCATACATGGGACTAATGCTTTAAGATGTAACCTTCCTTTGGAATAAAGAGACTTGGGGGGTGAGCCGAGGAGTCCAGGTTATAAAATCTCTCTACCCCAAAGACAGACTAGAAAGAGCTAGTCCTTTTCTTGCTCGTGTTATGAATGAATGAGTGAATAAATGAAAAAGCATTTATTAAGCACCTACTACGTGCCAGGCATTGTACTAGGTATTGAGGATACAAACACAAAATGTGAGAAGGTCCCCGCTCACAAGAATTTAATTGGAATACAGGGAGACCATACAAGGAGGTGGCGACCAGGGAAGGGGTTTCAAGGTGAGCAGCCATTCGTGATGACTCCTCGGTGGTGAATGGAGCCAGAGGTCAGCTACCTGTCCTGCTTTCCCAGAAGCAATGACCACATTGATTTGTTTACCGTTTTCAGAGCAAGAGGTAAAAAGTAGGGGGTAGGAAAGATTGGGAGGGGAAGCGAGAAGGCAGAGGAGACTGCAAACAGTGGCAGGGCAGGGAGGCCAGGCTTCCTGGTGGACAGATAGGATAGGATGTGAAGCCTGGCTGAGGGCAGGCTAGATCTAGTCCTTTCTCTAACTAACAGTGCTCAGATTGTCTCCTTCCCTCTTCCCCTTGGATAACTGGGCTCTGAGAGCTTGAGTGGTAGAAGAAAATGAGGGTAGAAAGGGGCAGGTGTCTTGTAGAAAAGAGCAAGAGGAAAGTGAAGAAAAACCTAAGAATGGGGCATGAGGAGGTCACAGCATCCAAGATTTAGAGACATCGGGGAAACAGAAGTCATCACATCCAGCCAAGTCACACAGGCCATAGAACCTCGGAATTCTAGATTTAGAGCTGGAAGCAACCTCCCAGGAGGTAACTGATCCCAGAGAGGCTGCAAGCTAGCCCAAGTCACATGGGTAGCAGAGCTGAGATTTGAACCCAGATCATCTGTCTACAAACCTAATGCTCTTTTAGCGAGACCAAACTGTGCAATGATGTGCCCAAGGCAACCCAAGGAGGGAGCATTAGAACCACTATTGGACCCCAGGTCCTCTGACTCCTAATCCATTATTTTCCACTACGTCACAATTCACAGCTATATCTGTGCATAAAGGAGATGATTTGGATGTGTGCACTGAGGACAGATTAAAGGTAAGAAAACAGAGAAGGCAGGACAACCTATAAGGAGGCTATTGTAGCATCCATGTGGGTGTTGCCGAGGATTTGAAATCATCATAATAATTATAATCATTATTACAATATTATAATAATGTTATGACATTATATAATTCCATTGTATTAATAATAACAATAGAATTGGGATTCTAGCCATGAGACTAGGCCAGATTCAAGACTTGTTTTGTCAGTGAAATTGTCAGGAACTGGTCCTTGCTTGGGTCTGAGAGGGCAGAGAGAAAGCAGAATCAAAGATCACGTCCAATTTTTCTAGGGTGATTTGTCTGAACGTTTCCTTTGCCCCATCATATCCTATCTTCAGCTATATCTGTCTCATAATAGGTATCCTACCCTTGGTAAAATGTAACACTATTTTAATGCTGTAACTAAGGAAGCTTATTCTGGAGGATTAGCTAATGACTTCTATACGTAATCATACATAGTTAAAGGTCAAAGGATTATAGATTTATAATTGACAAGTTCCCTCCCACCCCCTGCCAAATCCTAGCTCAAACATCACATATTCTAAAATTCCTTCCAGCTCTGATACTCTCTGTTCTAAAGCTCCCCCGCTCCCCCTCAAGATCTGACATTCCCTGTTCTCCAGCCCTTTCCAGCTCTGACATTGCATATAATAAGGATCTTTCTTGCTCTGACATTCTAATACCGTATTCAACCACAGTCTTTAAAGGTCAATTTTTTAAAAAGCCCTGTATTGGGCCCCGAAGAAGGTTGGTGGCCAGGAACTGCTTTCCATCTCATGAGTCTGTAATGGCCTCTGCAGTGCTGACTTTGGCCGCTCTCCCCAAACCCCTCCCTCCCTCCTCCATTTCAATGTCCATTCTTTCCGGTCTTGCACCACTTGTCACACTTTCCATAACATCCAGGCCCGTGAAGTCCTGAGGAACGAAAGGCAGGCAAATCAGTTCTGCAGGGCCACTGAGCAGCTGTTCCAGGCCCTTCACAGAATGTGCTGAGTCAGCCAGAGGCCACGTGGAAACCAACCGAACCCAGACAACTTGCAAAAAGTCTATGCTGGAGGAGGCAGGTGTGTGCTGGACAAAGAGCTCTGGAGTCAAGGGCCTTGTTTCACATCTTGACTCTGACAACATTTGCTTGACCAGCTTCCCCAGGCGTCAGTTTTCTCCCCTGACAAATGAGAGGGGTGAAATAGACGGCCTCCTAGAGCCCTTCTAGCTCTCAGACTTCTTTCTGAAAAGGCAACTGCCTAGAAAGGTTCTCACCTGGTACCCCAAACCAGGCTAGCCTTGCCCTGTCAGTGGCATCTTAGAGATTCTCAGAGCCCCTTTAATTTGGAATGATCATCCATAACCTCAGAGAATGAGACGAACAGAAAAATGATTACTCAGCCTGTTAGTGTACTTTTAGATTTATCTTTGCCAAGACAGTATTGGTGTGTGCTACGTCCCGTGGGGTCACGAAGGGTCAGACATGACTGAACAACAAGGTTTATAAAACACCCTCTCACAACAACATTGTGAGGGAGGGGAAATTGCCTTATGTCAGAGCGTGAAGAGCAAGGTTCATCCAATCCAGCCTACACTTGAAGAGGGAGCCGCTCTCCTCCATAACCTCCACAACTAGTAGAAAGCTTGCCTTCTCTATTTTTGTTCCAATCCAACACAGGTTTATTGTGAAATAGAACAAAGATATCCAAGTGCTCACAACCAAACAGTAGGAAAGCAGCAGAGCTGTAACTAAGGTTTGACCATCAAGCCATTGTCCTAGAGTTTCAAAAGTCAGAGGGCACTTGTACTAGCTCAGCAGACAGACACAACTGGCCGGCCTCCTCTTAAAGACTCCAGTGATGCCACTCAGAGAGGTGAGGAGTCTTACCCAAATTCCCACAAGGAGGGAGAATCAAACATCGATGTTCACAGTGACTTCAACTCTTTGCTTTGGGGAGGGGTTCTAAGTTTGGGTCCAGCCCAGGACTTTGAAATCTGACCCAAAGAGGGACTTAGAGAACAAGGTCCAGATACCCTGGAATCAATCCTCCCTGCCAAAATTGAGCCCAGACACTCATTTTTACTGTAATACTTGGGGAAGACTTCTCAGAATGTGATAGAAAGAGCAGTAGAGGATTTAGGTGCAAGCTCTTGGCTAAGTCACAAACTACTCGATTTGATCTTGGTCAAACCCCTTCTCCCACTCGGGCCTCAGTTTCCACAACTGTAAAAGGAGAGGTTTGGGAGGAAGGGTATCACCGAACTTGAGTTTGAATATTGGCTCTGGTGTTCACTGTCTATATGACCTTGATCAAGTCACCTCACCTCTATGAGGTTTCCTCATCTGTAAAAAGAGGGGTGGGACTACACTCTGAGGTCCCTTCGATCACTCAGTCATCAGTCCTGGGTGACTGGCTGATCCCTAAGTATCCCTTATGATCCTCTGATAATGTTGGGGTGGTTCTAATTGTGGGCCTCAGTTTCCCCATCTAAAAATGAGGTGATTGGGCAGGTCCCTGAATTTCAAAGGACTCTGGAGGCCATGCAGTACAGTTCTTTCATTCTGCATATGAGAAAACAAGCCCAGGGAACTGGAGTGACCAGCCCACCATCACAGAGGCAATAAGAGGCAGAATCAGGATTTGAACTCATGACCTTTCCCCTCACCATTCTGCCTCCCTAACTGACAACCGTGTGTTTACTGAGCGACCTGGGGGAAGAATGAGTTAAGTTTAAACGGAAAGACTGTTGCCCAGAGAGGGCATTGACTCTAGGATGAAGGGAGCCAAGGAAGAGGGGTAAAGACAGGGAGGCGGGACGGCCACCAAGCCAATTCACCTTTGTTGAGGTTGCGTGGGCCTGGGCGTGGCCATCCCGTATCGTCTGGGTCCTTCTCTGGCCCATTTGCTTCACAGAGGAGTATGGAGGAACGCAGAGGAGAAAACATGGTGCCCAGTGCTGGTGGAGCGACAGCCGCCGGCCAGACTAGATTGTCTACAGCCCCATCGTCAGCGTGGCTTCCCCGGCCCGCCTCCCTGACGCCAAGCGTCCTCAGGCTCTCCGTGGGCACCTGGAAGGCAGGACACGCTAAAAGCCGACATTTCTACGAAAGAGGCTCTCGGAGCTCTGCTGAAGAACTCAAGTGAGCTGTTAAAGTGGCTAACAGACAGCACTAGAAAGATTATTTGTTCAACTGCAAATAATGGAAGTACGGAAAAAAATTCAAGACCTATTTATCAGGCAACACGGGGCTAGGCTTGTCTGGAGATGGATGTTTCCTCGGCTGCTGCTGACCTCTTGTGGCAGTCCCAAGAACTGCGTAACAAATGAAATTCCGAACCTAACACCTGGGACTTTAGAGCTAGAAGGGAATTCTGATATCCTCTGGATTCTGGTCCTGCTCCCTCTTTTTGATGGAGAGAAAACCAAGGCCCAGAGAAGGGAAGACACCTGCCCCAGGTCGCCCAGAACCAGGACTTGAACTACCTCTTTGAAATCCAACTCCCATGTCTTTCTACACCACAGGAGCATGAGCATGGCCTGATGAGTTATTAATAATAATAATAATAATAATAATAATAATGATAATAATAATGATAATAATGGTCAGTTCTATAATGTGGGGATTCGAGACTAGCTGACCCCCTCAGGTACCTTCCACCTCTAAGGTTCCATTAACTTTATTAGGAAATAATGGAGAAAGACAAACAACTGACTTCCAACTCGAGAAAATCTACATTCAAATCCAATTCTGACATATACTTGATGTGAGACCCTGGGTCAGTCACCTAACCGATCAGTGATCTGGGAAGCATTGTTGAAAGGAGTCTCCTCACCTTGCATCAATGACGTCACAGGTCTGCAGGAAGAAAGGGAGGAAGGAAAGGGAGGGAGGGAGGGAAAGAAAGAAGGAAGGAAAGGGAGGAAGGAAGGGAGGAAGGAAGAAAGGGAAAGAAAGAAGGAAGGAAGAGAGGGAAAGAAAGAAGGAAGGAAGAAAAAGAAAGAGGAGAAGAAGGAAGGGAAGAAGGAAGGAAAGAGGAAGGGAGGGAGGAATAAGGCAATAGAAATCATGGAAACGGGATGTGTACCACCAATTGAGGAATGGCTGGACAAATTGGGGTATATTTATGTAACAGGATATTATTGTACTGCAAGAAATGATGAATAGGGGGAACTTGGAGAAAGATGAGAAGACTGTAAGAACTGAGGCAAAGACAGTAGAACTGAAACTATGATTTCATAATGTAAGAGCTCCCCCTCCCACCCAACAGAGACGTGGAAAATGGGGGTTGTGAATGGGACGTGTTTTCGAGCGTGGCTGATGTGGACATTTATTCTGCCCAGCTATAGCAATGGACCCAGGAATCTTCTTTTTTTTGGGGGGGGGAGGTTAATCATCTTAATTAAGAGGAGGATAGTGGGAGGGCTAGATTAACAAACACAAACACTTGTAACTTTAAAAGAACCATTTAAAAAAAAAGTTTTTTAAATTAAAACTCTTTAAAGAGTATAATATAAATGAAAACAACCTTAAAATGCTGCCCCAGAGAAAAGAAGAGTTATACCTCCCTTGAAAGAAATGTGGTGAACCATGAGTGCCGAGTGTCGAATACACTATTCAATTCTACTGCATACTCTATGCTTAACTATTCTACTACACTACATAGGGGATTGTTGATTGACTTTTGGTCCAATTTCTTTTTTGTTACAAAGGGGGATTCCACAGAGAAGGCAGTGGGGTTATATTAGGAGGTGAATATAGTATCACAAAGGCATAATTCAATGATTAATTGGGAAAAAGAAAAAAGTGGGTAAGTATAAGCCCTCAGTGAAGCCCCAAGAGCTGTCTTAATACTGCCAAAGGAACAGTAACAATTACTACAGCATGCCTCTTCCCCAGGCACAAAGCATAAGGCATGCAATGGAAGAGCATTAGAGGAAATCATAAGACAAAACAGTTTCTCAGAAATCAATTACTCCCAATAGATTTTTCCCCCTAGGAGAAAACAAGAGAATCACAAATAATTTAAATCATGCTTTCACTTTTTGAAGACTAATAGGCCTCTTTCAGTGAGTAAAATCTGGAGAAAATTCACTGAGATGAAGACTTTCCAAAATGAAAGCTCTGAGCCTGGGCAGATCCTGAAGCCCCAGGCTGGTCTCCTGAGAACTCCCTTACCTGAGACCCCAGCAAAGCATGGGACCAAGAGCACGGAAGAAGGAACTGCCTCAACAGGTGGGAAGGACAAATAGAAACAGCTCTGATTTGGAGTCAGGAGACCTGGGTTCAAATCTTCCACTCTGTGTGATACCCCAGACAATTCACAGGATCTTAAATTGAAGTCTAATAGGAACTTTATCATATTGATTTTTTCCATCTAATTTCATGGGCCCTGAAATCTGCACCTGGGCAATGGACCCCAGGTTAAGAATCCCTGCCTTGTAACAAACAATAAAAAGGAAAAAAGTCAGTTTGGCAAAACTAACCAATATATCAAAAAGGTCTAGTAATCCCCTCCCAGCTCTAATATTCTATGTTCTGAGGGCCCTCCCAGGTCTAACATTTTGTGTTCTAATGTCCCTCCAAATTCTGACATATATTCTGAAGTCTTTCCAGAGCTGACATTTCCAGTCCTAAGGACCCTTCCAGCCCTGACATCCTGTGTTCTAAGTTCCCTTCCAGCTCTGACATTCCCTGTTCTCAGGCCTATCTATCTACACACCCATGACATAAGGGCCTATATTTATTCCCAAGTGCCAGGTTTGGCCACAGCCAATTCACAGAGACACTTTCAAACTTGTTTTTAGCTTTGACAACGCACTGCCATCTGTCTTGACTCTATGTGATGCAAAATGCTTCCTGGAGAGACGAAGCTAAAGAGAATGGCAGAGTGTTACAGGCAGAATGAGAAATGGCCCTTAGCTGGGCGTGATGAAGAGGAGCCCTGCATGTGAAATATTGCTGCTGTCACCAGGAGAGAGCTGCAGTGAATATGTAGGCAGTTTGTCATTGGGAGAATTGATTCAGCCCTCTCTAGGGCTCCACGCTCAACGAAAACAACTGGTAGCGACCATTTCTCTACCTCTGTCTGCTGCTGGCTAGCTGTGCCACCTTGGGTGAGGCCATCGCTTAGGACTCAGTTTCTTCTTATGTCAAAAAGGGGTGCTGGATTAAATTATTTCTGAAGTCCTTCTCTGGCTGACATTGCGTCTTCCTATCCTCCCAGCTCTGACCTTCCCTGTCCTAAGGCCCCTCCCGGCCCTGACATCTCCTGTCCTAAGGCCCCTCCCAGCCCTGAGACACCCTGTTCTAAGGCCCCTCCCAGCTCTGACATTCCCTAGGACCCTCCCAGATCTAACATTCTAAGCTTTATAGTCCCTTCTATCTGTAACATTCTACATGTGTCAGACTAAGTCCTAGGTCTCCTCCACCACCACTTCCCCCACCCACCCACCTACCTATTCACCATTGATTCTTTTTCAGGAACATTCTCCTCTCTGTTTACACAAATCTGCTTAGCCCTGGCCAAGCTCCATGATTTTTCCAGACCCCACAGACCCTTACCAAGCTCCTCACTTAATTGGAACAGACTTCCTATGCAATATTACTGCAATTCATTCAATGGTTTTCAAGGACTTTCCTCAATTAGTCTAAAACAGTGATTTTTAACTTTTTTTGTATCATGGATCCTTTGGGTGGTCAGTCTGGTAAAGTCTGGTAAGGATCCCTTCTCTGAATCATGCTTTTAAATGCACAGTATAAAGGAAAGAAGGAAAGCTTTGGAGGCATCAAGATCATTGGAATACAGAATGGTCAGCCAGCTAAGCGGCACCCAGGAGCATTAAGCCTATTAACCAATACTGCCTGCTTACTAAGAGCTATGTTTCTGACTGAAGCCTCTATCTGACTTAAGGTTAGAAAATTCTTACAGCTCCCTATTTAGCATCCAATTGCTTAACTCTACCTATTCCACATCACTTTAGAGAATGCCCTACTGTCATTCCACTGTGGTTTTCATTCACATATAGTGATTTTATAAGAGGCAGGATAACGGGCCAGCTGTGGAATCAGGAAGAACTGAGTTCAAATCCTACCTCTGAGAAATACTCATTACCCAAACTCATTACCCAAAGAAAAATCATTAGGCTCTCAGTGATGCCTCCCCTTCCATATCATGGAACTCCATATGGTGATGAAATCACAGGTATTGACCAAAAAAAAGGAATAATTTATGAAAATGTCATATTCTTCATTCTTTCTGCCATCAGTCAATAATTATCAAGCCCCTATTCTTTGCTCAGCAATGTATTAAATCTGAGGGGCACAGAGGTAAAAGGAGACAGAGTTCAATTAAGGGTGATGCAGAAATTAGATTCAAAGGTGCTGGCTTTGAGTTCCAACTCTGTAAAACTAAGGCATTAGACTAACTGATCCCTGAAACTCCTTCCAGCTCTAAATCCTATAATAGAGCTTTAAGATTTACAAATCACTTACCCTGAATTACTCCAAGTACCTTGGGTAGTATCAGGATTATCACCCCCTTTTTATAGATGAGGAAACCGAAGCAAAGTGAGATGATTTGTCCAAGGACCCAAGGTCCCCTACAACTCAGATCTACTGACTCCTTCAAATCCAGTACTCTTTCCTTCACCACAAGGACTCAGCTTTTTTGTGTCCTGGACTCCTTGGGTCATCTGGGGGATCCCGTGGATGGATCCCTTCTAAGAATCATATCTTTAGATCTACAAAATAAAATAATAGCAAATATTTTGTACAGAGCTTTGAGGTTTTCAGAGCACTATATATGTCCATTCATTTTGATGCCTAGAACCCTGAGGTAAGTGCTATTAGCCCCATTTTCCAGATGAAGAAAGTAAAGCAGAGAGAAGTGACTAGTGAGTGTCTTTGTCCCAGAGCTACCTACTGACAGCGATAGATGATAGATACATACATATGTAGATACATACATAGATACATATAGATGGATGGATGGGTGATAGATACAGAGTTATATTTAATCTCTCTCTCTCTCTCTCTCTCTCTCTCTCTCTCTCTCTCTCTCTCTCTCTCTCTCTTTATATATATATATATACACACACACACACAAATATGTATATACATGCACACACACACATTAAGGTCATGGACCCTAGGTAACAGAGCAGCATCAGCCTGGCACTGTCAAAGAATATAGATCTAAAATTAGAAGTCCTGGGTTCAAATCCTAGTGTAATACTTGTTTGACTTTGGGCAAATCTCTTGGTCTACCTGAGCCTTGGTTTCCTCATCTGTATGAGGAAGGTGTTGACTAGTGTCTTTCTAAGTTCTAAATCTATGCTCTTATGAACTATCTTTCCAAGACTTCTACAGATTCTTGATTTTCACTGGTAGGACTGGGGGAGAAGGGAGGGGGAGAGTGTGTTTCTCTGCACACACCAGGTAAACACACACCTGTTCTCTTACGGCCCTGGCTGGGGGGAGGGAGGAGTGGGAAGGAAAAAAAAACTTTACAAACTTTAATTTAACATCAACAACAAAAACAAAAAGCCTTTCCCACCGTCACGCCCTTCTTTTCAATGTGAGCCAGAGACGTTGCATCACCGGGCTCTAAAACGTGGTCACTTGGGGGCTGACATACATCGCATCACGCGCATTGGCTACATCCTCCACATCTGTGTAACTGTAACATTCGGACTCGAGCAGCCGCCCGCTCCTTGCGCAGGCGCAGCTTTGGCGAGACGTCTTCCCATAGGGTGAGCCAATTTCCAAACGTAGGAAGGGATGACGTACTCCTTTTTTTCTCGACTTGGTACAGCCGAGACTTTGGCCAATCAGAAGAGTTTTCGTCACCAATTGCTAGGTGACCAGCCTGACGGTTCTTTTCCGGTGGCGCTAAATGAGGTTGGAAATCCGGTGGGGGTGGAGTCCCGGTCCTGAAAGGGGTGGGAACTTGGAATGATTGATATAGACTATCGACCATTCAGTCAATGGAATGGCTTTGATGAGCAGACGCTTTGTCGAATTGAAATAAAGCAGAAAGATTCCCGCCTCACGTTACGCATAGTTCCCTCCCCCGCCACGCTTTCCCGCGCACATGAAGAGCGGGTGACCTGGCCAATGGGGTGCGAGCACCGGGCGGCGGTGGGCGGGCGGGTGTCGTTGTTAGGGAGGCTTCGTTGCTAGGGAAGCAGGGGTGGAGAAGGTGGAGCGGCGATCGAGGCGGGGCTGGGAGCCGTCCGGCGACTGACTGGACCTCGAGTCCGGCCCGGGCCTCTTAGGGCCCTACCGCGAGCATGGTCAAGCTGGCGGCCAAGTGCATCTTGGCAGGTGAGCCTGAGGTCACGGGGTCACGGTGTGGCCACGGGGAAACTGAGGCACGGAGAGGGTCCTGGTCTAAGCTGGAGGAGCTTTAGAGGCCATGGCGCCCGGCCCCTTCCCCACAGAAGAGGGAAACTGAGGCAGGGAGAGGATCCTGGGTCTAGAGCTAGAGTCCAGCCCCGTCTTTATACAGAGGAGGAAACTGAGGCACAGAGAGGTCATGGGATCCTAGATCTAGGGCTGGAAGGGACCCCAGAGGCCACAGGATCCACACCTCTCATTTCACAGGAAAGGAAAATGAGGCCCAGGTTGCTCACGGTCACTCAGGAAGTGGCACAGGAGAGAGCCTGCTGGGTGTGACGTCCAAAGACTCACTTTGGGGGTTCAAGTCCCAGCTGTTATTTCCGTGCTGTGTGGCCCTGGGCCAATCACTTCCCCTCTCCCAGCCTCAGTTTCCCCACCAGTAAAATGAGGTTGGGCAGGATCTCAGTGGTCCCTTCTAGCCCCAAATCTGGCTGGGACCCCAGGATCCCCATGTGCAAAACGAGGCAGTCTGAACGTCCAGGGAGGTCTCCTGTGCCCTCTGGGTCTCAGGCTCCTTCTAAGTCATTTCACCCTGTGAACCTCAACTTCCCCACATAAAAAAACAAACAAATGAACAAAAGGAGGGGGTTGGACTGGATGGCCTTTGAGGACCCTTCCAGCTCTAGAGCTATGACTCCAAGTGGCAGAGCCGGGGATTTGAACCCCGGTTCTCTGACTTCGGGTCTGACACTTTCTCCTCTATACCACAGCTGCCCCTCCTGTCTGACAGTCTCCAGAATCCCACAGCTGGCTGTGACCTCAGAGGCGTCAGCTCCAAATCAGCTCTTGCCATCTGCTTCAGCAATTATTAAGCGCCTAGATATACTGCTGTGCTGTATCTATTTACATATTTACTTACGTTTTTATTTATCTATTTGCCTATTTATTTGTTTTAATTTATTTATGTTTTTATACCTATTTACCTTTTACAAATCTATTTGTTTACATGCTTATTTATTTCTTTGGGGGCCTCTGCTCTTATCAGGATAGGGAGCTTCTGGTGAATACTTCCCTCTCCCAACAGGACCTTCCCTGCAACTTCTCATGTCAGAGTTGTGCCTCACAACCTGGGATGGTGGAGGGAAGACCGAGTCAGGCCCTGGCCTTGGAGAGCTGACCTTCTGCTGTGAAAGTCCAGCCTAGGCTCCCTGGACTCTGAGGATTGTCTGGGCCCCCTCCTCATTTTACGAAAGAGGAAAGGGGCGTGTGGTACGATGGAAGGAGCACAGGTTTGGAGGCAGTGCCCGGGGTTCGAGTCTCAGCTTACTTGCTTACTTACTGGCTAGGTGGCCATTGCCAAGTTCCTGGTCTGCTCTGAGCTTCAGTTTCCTCTTCTCTAAGATGAGAGGTCTGGACTCAATGGCCTGTGACCAAGGTCTGAGTCTGGGGTCCTAAGACATCATGCAGGCAGTGAGTGAAACATCTGGCCTCCAGACCCAGGTTCTCAGACTCTGAATTCTGTCCTGGCACAGAGGAGGAAAGGCAAAGTGTGTGCAGCATTCCACAAAAAATCAGTGGAAGAGGGAGGGAGGGTGTGAACAAGGGGGTCGAGTCAGGAAAGGCCTGGTGTTAGAGGTAGCCACTCAGACCTGGGCATCTCTTCTCTGACTGAAGACATTCAGTGACAGAGAACTCACAGCCCGTTCTATTTGAGGGCAGCTGCAAGAGTGAGGGAGCTTTTCCTTACCGTCTCTTATTCCTTTTGCTCTTAGGAAGGAGTCCTGATTTAGTGGGTGGTGGTCAGGATTTGAACTCAGCTCCGATGATTCCAAAGTCAGCACTCCTTCCTCCATACCAAGCTTTCTCCCCATAGAACCTTAGGGTGAGAAGGGCCCCAGAGAGTCCTGGGGTCATCGACATCCCACAGAAAGTGACAGAGGGTCCTGGAGCCTTCCCCTGCTCTCTGCGATTCTGCCTCCCTCCCTGACAGCGAGGTCCTCCTGATGGGTCAGAACCTTGTAACTGAACCCATTAGACAGAGTCATCATTCTCACCAACATGGCGCCCCCTGGCTAGGCGGGAAGTGCCTTGCGTTTGATCTTCGTTATCCCAGGCATTCGGCTCCTGTCCTTGACTTGGCCGGGTCACCAGTTTGCCCATAAAGGGGTGAGGTCCTCAATGACCGCTGGTCCCGTCAGTCCTCTGAGAGCAGAGATCTTGTCTCTTACACAACAGTCTTTGCGTCTCCACCAGCACCTGGCCCCTGCTGGGCACACAGTAGGCCCTGAATCGAAAATGTCCCTCAAGAAAATTAAATCCTTTCCCTCCTAACAAACATGCAGTAAGCATCTGCTGGTAACTTTAAAAAAAAGTAGGTGAGCACAGAGGGCTTATCGTTTAATGCAAAGGGAGACTCATGCCCAGATCTAAGAAATGTTCAGAGGCCCAGGTGGAAGGATGGGGCAGCCCGAGGAGGGAGAGCTCCCTTTCATTGGCTGGGGAGCGAGGATCGATTCTCCTGGAGGAAGCGACCTCTGACGTGGCCTTGAAGGAAGGGGCACTCCAGGGGTTGGGGACCAGCGGCCTCCCAGATGACAGGGGCTGAGGGCCAAGTTCTCTTTCTAGAAGTCTGGCCTGACTCGACACTTAGACCTGTAAGATGGGGATGGTCAGCACCTCCCTCCCAAGGCTGTTGTGAGGAGCAAAGGAGAGGACTATCAAGTGCCCAGCGCAGTGCCTGGCACACAGTGGGTGCTCGATTATCGTCGAGCACCTAACAGTTTCCAGATGTTTTCTTTGATGTCTGAAATGGCTGCACTAATGGCTCCACTTCACAAGTGAGTTAGCTGAGCCTTGGAAAGGTTCAGTGATTTCCCCAATCACACCGACAATGTCGGAGCCAGGATTTGTCATCGTTCAGATGCTCCCACTCATCTGAATCTCAGTCTCTCCTGATTCAGTGGAGCTGGGGGTTGGGGGAGCAGGCAAGAAAGCACAGTGACTCCCTCACAAAGGGGACCCCTTACATTGACCCAGATGTGCCTACCTGCACCTTCCATCATTTGACTCTGGTCCTCGCGTAAGGCTTGGCTAGATGAGGAAGAGATAGGCCATCCAGGGTGGCCTGGTGGGGAGAAGGAGGAAGAAACATTGAGAGGTAGAAGAAGAGACAGCGTCAGAGCGGACCTGGGGTCAAACACTGCCTTAGATACTTAGGAATTGTGTTCCCCTGAGCAAGTCCTTTAACCTTGCTCAGCCTCAGTTTCCTCAGCTGTAAAATGAGGAGGTTAGGCATTAGACAGTCTTTAAGTCCCTTCCATCTCTAAATCTGTGATCCTTTAAAAGCATAAACAAAGAGGGGTGTGAACATACCAAATAGGCTATTTTGACTCTAACAGAGGGTTTATGGAAGGAAGAAGACATGGTATTGGCCACAGAGTTTATGGACAGATTCGAGAGGGTCTTAAATTCCAGGGGAAGAAGTCCTAGAGACGTCGGGGAACGTTTGAAGGATTTTGAGCAGGCAGTGGCAGAGGGGAAGTAGTGTCTGGAAGCTGAATCTGGTAGAGGCTGTGGGGGCGGGCGGGAGGACCGATCAGTAATGAGGGGCTAAGGCCCGAACCAGAGTGTCGGTGCTGCTAATAGGAAGAAAGACATAGATGTGAGATTTTGTGAAGAAAGATTTGACAAGGCTCGGTGCCTAATGAGGCTTTGGGGAATTCGGGCAGGGAGAATCCAAAATGACTGAAGTTTTGAGCCAGCGGTCATTAACGGAAATGGGCACATCAGCAGAAAATGGCCATTTTTCGGGAGGGAAACGATGGCACTTGGTGATTAGGGTTTTGATGAATTAAGTGCAGAGGGGGAAGGCCTGATACCTAAGCGAAAATGACTGTTGGAAATGTGGGGTGGAAGGCTGGGCTAAAAATAAAGATTTGAGAGTCAGCTAGTAAGTTGGACCTGAGGGAGGAGATAGGAGCTCAGGAAGCAGAGAGGTCAAAAGGGAAGAGAGGAGGGTCTAGGACCGAACCTTGGCAAATCCAGGTGGCAGGAAGGTGTCCCTCAAAGGGGCATAAGGAGCTGCCCATCATAGGGGAGGGAAAGCGTCTGGCTTCAGAGGGACTCTATGTACACCAGCCTTGTCTCCTCCCTTCTTACAGATGAGGCCGAAAGAGGGCAAGCAGCTTGTTCAGGGTCACACAGGCAAGTATCAGGTGAGATTGGAACTCAGGTCCCATGACTTCAAAATTGAGGGAAGAGTTTCAAGGAATGTCAGGTGTTCTAAGCAGGTCAAAGAGGATGAGGATCAAAAAAAGGTATTTGGTGAAGAGGAGGTTGATGGTGACTTCTTACTGTCATATCTTTGGACATTGTCACTAGCACTGGTCACAGCGTGGGCTGGAGTGACATTTGGCCCTTCTCCCCAAAACAGTGTGTAAGGTCTGAGAGGACTTAGCACCTACTGAGCAAGAGGAATGGGTTGGTACAGGAAGCTTCCTGATGGTGCTTCCTCCTCCAGCACCCAGGCCCCAGGGGAGCCACCCTGCTCCCTCCAGCCACCTCCCTTTCCATGGCGGCTCAAGTCTGTCACCCCTTCCCCACTAACTGAATGTGTCTTTAAAAGTTTGTTTAGGGATGTGTTTCATGCTTTGCCCCACTATGGTAGGTTGTCAACCCCTCCTCCCTCTCCATATCAAATGATGCCCTTCACTCGCCTTCTCTTGTCTTTAATGGGCTGGAAGACTAGATTCTTACAGTTGGAGGGGACCTTATAGATCTAATCCAATCCAGTCTCTGGGCAAAATTAGGAAATTCCATCTACAATACATCTAATGAGAGCTTCTGGTCAAAGACCTAGAGTGATAGGGAACTCCCTAATCCCTCTGCTCAAGTAACCCATTCCACTTTTCCCCAGCTCTAATTGTTAGAACATTTTTCTTTTTGCTAAACCAAAGTCAGCCCCATCCCCCTTTCTTCTGCTCCTA